AAAAGAATGGCCTTCCAAAAATTATGGGAATCTCCTAATCGATGTGGCAGTCCAGAATGAGAAAATCTACCGGAAACACAAACTTTCCAACCTACACAATTACATCATCAAGTATACATGATGGCCTCTTCACCATTCGATCGGCTAGCTATAGTAACATGGATGTGGGTCTTGCTCTTTCAATGCCTAACCTTTATAGATAGATAAGGGCATCAATTTTATGCTCGCCCCCAAATAACACAATCTTTCGCAAAAGCATAGTTGCCTATTGTGCATGGGATTGTGAAACTTCCTGGGTCGGATAGCTTCTCAGCTCTGGGTCTCATCACGACACACTACATGTCTGAGTTAGTGTAACAGTTGCCAAGTCTTGAAGTCGAACTTGCGAGACATCAAGTCCTTCATCATTTTTGCATAAACAGACATCTCCCCCAAGGAATCAATCAGTGGAATGTTCACCTGAATCCGCTTCAACATCTCCATGAATTTCTTATACTGCTCGTCCTTCTGATATTTGGTCAACCTCTGCAGGAAGGGTGCTGGCTGTCGCTTCTTTCCTGTGACTTGAGTTCGATCCTGCTCAGGCACTTTTTCTAATGCTTTCTCTTGCACTTTCTCAGTCTCCTTTTCAACCTCTTTTTCCTTGTTCGTTTCCTCCTGGGCTGGCTGGACTCTTACTTCTATTAGCTCAGTTGACTCATCTACCTCAATTGGTACTGGCACGAGTATCTCAGTTGGTCGGCTTTCACGAGCAATTTCTTGCTCTAGATCAAGATCTCTACCATTTCTCAAACTCACAGCCATCAACTGCTTTCAACCCTGCTCTTTCGAGTTAACATGTGTGTCCGCAGGTAATGTCCCTTGAGGATTATTGTTAAGGTCCATGGATATTTTCCCTAGTTGAATCTAATGCCCTTGATAGCTGAGTCGTGTGATACTACCTTTTCGTGAATTTAGTGTGCCTTTTCTTGCATCTGGTGGACCTTTTCTTCCATTTTCCCGCTGGAGCCAATGAGTTATTGCAACATTCCTTTTATGTCAAACAACCCATCATTTTGTCGCATATCTGTTGCTGTTGAGGTTGGTGATAAGCTAGTTGTTTATTCTGCTGATTGCACCCTTGTTGCCTTTGATAAGGCACAGCCTGACCCTGTGTTCGTGCAGCTTCAGGATTATTATTATTATTATTGTACTGCTGTTGTGCTGGCCTATTGTTGATTCTGCTGTCCCCAAGTCTGACCACCTTGTCTCTGGCCTCCATAGTAGCCCATATAGTTCATATTCTCTTATTAGTTCTATTTGTCACTCTCACCACTCCACGAGCACACATATGGTTGATTAATGCATGGTGTGTATAATCCTCCATTTGTCGTGTCAACTATGTGCACTTGCTTCTGGCCTGACTCATCAATCTTTTTGGTTAAGATACTCAATTGCATCATCATCGTAGCCATATTCTCAGCCATGGAGTTGTTTGGGTCTAAAGCTACTGAGTGAACTACATGAATGATTGTAGAGTCTCTTGTCATCTATCCTAAGTTTTGAGCCATTTTATCAAGTGAGACCTTATATTCCCTGAATGATTTGCTCAAAAATGCTCCACCTGCTGAAGCATCAACATTGGCTTTCAAGCTTTTTGCCAATCCCATGTAGAATCTTTTCCCTAACATCTGATTTGGAATGACATGATGTGGACCCTTAACTAGCATCCCTTTGAACTTATCCCACATTTCTTGCAATGTTTCAGTTGGTTTCTGCCTGAAGCTCAATATCTCATCAACTTGCTTGGCAGTCTTATTGGGTGGGTAGAACTTGTTCAAACACTACTTGACTAATTCCTCCCAAGTGGTGATAGAGTTTATGTGGAGCGAATTGAGCCAAGTCTGAGCCTCACCCGTCACTATGTATGGAAACAACAACAGTTTTATTGCTTCTGGTGTCACATTCGGTTGCCTTTGCAATGCACAAAACGACAGGAAATTTTTCAGATGCTGTTGTGGATCTTCAATATAGGACCTCGAGAATAGTCCCTTGTTCTGCAACAAATGTAGCATGTTGTTTGTAATTTGAAATGATTCCGCTTGTATTGTAAGGTCTGCAATTGCGGTTGCTAGGTTTTCAGCGTTGGGTTGTGCCCAATCATACAAGGCTGCTTCTAGCACAAGAGGTTCCACATCCTAATTGTTCGGGTCATTCAGATTGTTTTGGTTGTTTATTACGTCACCCATGTCTAGTTTGATTCGTTCCGTTGAGTTCTGTTGTCGTTTGTCTTTCTTGTTTGCTCGATTTAGTGCCTTGAAATCTTTCTCAGGGTCCGGTAATGCTTCGTACAATTCACTAGTGCTTGAGGAGTTTCTAGGCATGCACCTGTAACACACAAGACTACAAACATTAGAGATTCAGTATAATGAATTTCAAGTCGACAAAGCTGAATAAACTGCCTAATAATTATTTTAGCCATAATTAATAACACCATTAATTTCCCCGCATACGCTAAAATTTGATCACATCCAACTATGCCTCCTAAGAGGTCTAGCGGTCATTGTAAACATAATCCGGTTTACAAGTCCGTAGTCGAATCCCAATGGAAATTAACCTACTAATTACAACCACTAGATTCACACGAATTCAATTGATCAACCTTCAGAAATATAAATAATGATTTGAATGTTTACTAACTAAGAGCAAAGTAATTAAAATGCATTCATTTATAACTAACAGAGAAAATGTTGTGGACAAGATTTGGAAAAGTCTAGGGTTATAATTTCTCCTATTGTCGGAATCCTCTCCACTACGTTTCCTATAAATTCGCCTAAGTATACTCTACCGATCGTGAGTACATTGGCTTTCGTAATTCTCTTCCGAGTAACTACTACAATTTAGTAGACGTATTCTTCCGAACTACGCTAGCTGGCTTTAATTCACCGCTCACTAGGATCGCACCACGATTTCGTTATTCCTAATCCCACCTTTAAACCCTCCGTATTGATTCCTCACATACATTAGGATTGATGTTGTTCAACAACTACCTAAATATGTACCCTTTTCCAAGCAATACACACTAATAGGCACAGTCGATTGAGAGCTCTTCAATCAACCACAATGTAAACATAGTTGAACAAGTAGAGAAAAATCAAAGGCAAATCTATATTAAACGTAGTAGAAAATCATCCTCCATTAGGTTCCATCAAACCTTAGATTAGAAAATTTAGCTACTCATAAATGTATCAACAATCATCATGATGTTCAAATACATTAAACAATAAACTACAGAGATAAATGGAGGGAAACTCGTTTGATTCTTGCTCCACCGTGCTCTGTAGCCTTTTTCTTCTCCAAAATAGTGCCCCACCCTTGCTCAATTCGTTTGGGGAGTATTTATATGATAGGGCCGAAATCCCCCAGTCTAAATTCGGGTTGGAGTCTTTTAACCTTGACTTTTAATTACCGGGCTATAGACCTCGCGAAGCCAGGCGTATAGCGTGGTCAGCCTGGCTACAGAGCTGGCTCCGCCTGGCCTTTAGCACGGTCAAGCTGGCTATAGAGCTGGCTTTACTTTGTCCGTAGCACAGTAAGGCAAGCTATAGAGCTGGCTTTACTTGGTCTGTAGCACGGCTTGGGTACTTGATGCTTTTGTGCTCTCTTCTTGCATTTTTGTCCTCTTTTTGTGCAACTTTCATTCGACTCTTTCTTTCGATGCTCCTGTACATAAAACAACACAATTTAGCTCAAATGTCGTACAATTAATCACTAAACCAACAAAATATAGGACGAGTAATGTACTATAAACATAGCATTTTTGCCGAACATCAAATATCTAAACAAAAATTCTTTTCTATTTTATGATAATGTTTATTACTGAATACAGTGTTTGTTATTGAATACATGTTACCATATTAAATGTAATACCACCCTTTTATTTAGCACGATGCTTAGGAACAATACGATGCATTCACATCACTATCCGTGGCTCATTTTGTTGTGGTGTAAACTCAAACTTAATTGTATTTGTGCTTTATGCTAGATTCCAATTGAATAAGTCCTTGTTTACATTCACCTTGCAGCAAAAGATAAAATATAAATGAAGGTATATCGTGTTGCATTTCTGAAAAAATTATTATATTATACGAAAATGATTCATAAAATAATAATATTCCACAAATAAAAAACAAATCAGCCAAAACAGACATTTTCTAACTCTAGATTATACAAACAAGCTTCAAGAGATTTGACTTCATTCTCTACAAGGTGTTAAATTTAATAAGAATATTTAAACGAATGTTCTTTCAACAATATAAGTAAGAAATAAAAGAAGATAAAAACAAGAAAGAGATAAATCATTTCAAAGGAAACAAGATAGGAAATATTTTTCAGAGGGAACCGGCAATAAGGAGAACTGAAGAAGAAAAGTGAAAAAAAAAAAGAAGAAAAAGAAAGGTGAAAAAATGAAGAAAAAAGCTTAAAATATAAAGAAAATAAAGAAAAAAGCTAAAAAAGGGTAAGCTTAATTAAGCATTATACATGCTCAGATAGGGCCATTTCGATCGCTAGTATTACCTTTCACGCGCCTTTTGACGAGTTACTTTACACATTTTGCCAGATAAGCATTAGGGTGTTTTAAGGGGAATATAATTGAGGGGAGTTTTGAGGACACCAGATAATTAAAATAAAAAACTGACAAAAGTTTGATAATTTAAGGAGGTTTTATGGTATTAACTCCATGAATTATCTAGAAATCTATTTAAATTTTAAGAGACCTTAGTTATGTTCTTCTTTACTGTTACTTTTCCGTGAAATTTTTGCAAACAGGAAAGATTGGAACCGTCCATCCCAATTTTTATGGGAGTATTATCTCCGTTTTAAATTTCCAAAAACACCGAAGTGACAGTTCACCTCAAATATCCCCTTGTTGATCCATTTACACGCAAAACCTCTTTTATCCTAATTCCTGTTAACAGGTTTTTATCATAACAGAAATTTCTAAGGGTTTTACATTATTTCTATTATTGTCGTTGGTTAAAGAATATGGCGGGAAGAAAATAATAATGATGATCATCACCCACCACCTTCAACCACCACCCCAACCCCACCTCACCACCTTCAATCACTCAACCTTCAACTCCAAGAAATCGTTTTTTCACCTAAACCCATCCCCTACAATTCTTCATTTCCCAGTTTTTTTCACAATAGCCCAAAATTTTCCCTGTTTTGTTATTTTAGGAAAATATGGCTATGGCTTCAAGATTATTGGTACTATTGTTGTTTTTTATGTTAATTGTTTTGGAAAGAGATAATGTTAAAGGGATGGTAATGGCCATTGATGAAGATGGTAAAGCGCTATGTAGTAGTGTAAATCTTGCCGAATTTCTTCCTCCTCCTTATGGTGGTCTTGAAAATATGGTTTGCCAACCTGTTTGGAATTCTTTCCTGCTTCGTGTAAGTTCTACTAACTATGATTTCCGATAAGATATAAGTTATATACACTGATATTGTAAATTCTGTTCAATTATAGAAAATCAATTTTTTTTTTTTCGCGAGCAATGCTTTTGTTAGTCAATCGTTTTTCATGCTAAATTGGTTGCAGTAATAACTTCTGCATAAATTGTTACAGTACTCACAGACTAAAGACAATGTCGTCACAATCATATTATCAACTGTGTACACAACTGGATGGGTAGGAATGGGATTCTCGCGCGATGGAAAGATGATCAATTCTAGCTGTATGGTTGGGTGGATAACTCCTGGAGGACAGGGAAAAATTAAGCAATATTATGTAGAGGGCTTAACACCTTCAAAAATTAAACCTGAGAAAGGTGAGCTGCCATTGACAAGCGTTCCGCCCATCGTTTATCTTCAAGGTGCCACAATATACTTGGCCTTCCAATTGAAGTATCCAAATCGTCTAAAAAACCAACCGATTTTACTAGCTTTTGCAACCAAATATCCTCATCATCACCATCTTACTGTACATGATGACAAAACAACTATACTATTCGACTTCTCTTCAGGTTCGTTCACTTAGTCTCCTTACTCAATTGATCATTTGTCGTTTTTAATAACTATACCGTGTTGAGCATCTCTACCTTGTCAAGGTAGGACCGTAGGGGTAAGGTATGCGTATATACTACTCTCTCCAGACCCCACTTGTGGGAATAAACTGGGTATATATGTTGTTGTTATTGTTGTAATAACTATACAATGTTGGATCAGTTTGCCTTATCCTGGAATTAAAGACTAAAATGTTAACATACTTTTGCCTGGATGTTTATGTTGATTGATGTAACTGATTGCACTTAATGATCTGTCTTTCAGTTTGCTTTTCATTTGATGTAGTTCAGTATATACATGTAAGCTTTTTTCTCTATTTATCTAAATGCAGTCAGTAAATTAAAGTTTTAAAGTATTTGACTCCTTTAGTTAAGTTAATTTTCTCTTGTCCTCAGGTACTTCATTCGATGTTAATGCCGGTGCACCTAATAACTACATTAGCTCAACAAAGACTCATGGCGTGTTGGGTATATTGGGATGGGGACTATTTTCCCCCTTCGGAGCAATTTTTGCGAGATACTTCAAAAAACAAAAGTTATGGTATTACTTTCATGTATCCGCTCAGTTCATCGGATTCATATTAGGACTTGCTGGAGTGGTTCTTGGACTTCAACTTCACAACAAACTGCAGGTTCATATTCCATCACATGAAGGCATTGGCATTCTTGTTCTTGTTCTTAGCATTCTTCAGGTTTGTCTCTTATCCGATTCAGCAAATTGATTTCTCAAAAGTTTTTTAACCTTACGCCGGAGGGGATCCTAACTAACAAGAATTTTCTGTTGTACTGTATTGTGCTTTTATATTTTTCTCTTGTTGTGTGGGAGTTGGGTGGATATTTCCCAAAGATATTATCGGTTAGATAACTTTCTTCATTTAAAAGATTTATAATTTTTTACTACACTTTTATTTTATGTTGGTAATGATGATGATGATGATGATATGAGTTGAGCTTAAGAAAGGAATGGGGATTCATATCGCCAATCCCAACTTGTTTGATACTGAGGTATAGTTGTTGTAGTAGCTCTATGAGTGAGGCCTATTTGGGCCATTCTATAAACATGTTGGCTAAACCTATTGATGGCAGAGATGAAATTTCAGTTTCTGAATTTCGATTAATTGAGGCTCCCGGGGTACTATTTTGTGCTGTTCCATAGATGAGCAATCTCAAGCCAGCCTTACTACTATTAATTTGATGATTCCTACTAGGACGTACTCATCGAGAATTAATTATTGGGGACAAATAGAATAGCAGCAGTACCAAACTGCACCATCAAATATCAAAGAGAGAAAATAGTTGAAATGATTACAATCCTCATACTGAGAAACTGATGTTTTTCTTCTTTTAAATTGTGTCACAGTTTCTGATGTCATGTATTTCAGATCATGGCAAAAGCATTTTTTACTAACATTAGCACTCACTAAAAATTTAAATGCAGGTGTTAGCATTCTTTCTACGGCCAGATAGAGACAGCAAATACCGCAAGTGTTGGAATTTGTATCATGGTTGGACAGGGAGGATTGCCCTTTTCTTTGGAGCTGTGAACATAGTTTTGGGGATGCATTATGCAGGCGCAGGGGAAAGCTGGAAAATAGGTTATGGATTTCTTCTCGGTACAATAATGCTGGTGTCTATCGTTCTGGAAACACTGTTGAGGCTAAAGAAACTGGACGAGCCAAATCGTCCTCCAACCTATCCCATGAATTCAATTTAGAAGAATAGTACACAATTTGTTTGGTTGTTGATCAAATGCCTTTGCTAGTGCTTCTCTTTCTCAACAAGCTAAAAACTGAACTTCCCGTTTTGTATATTACAGATTTTTTTGGTGTTTTGAAGGATTAGATGTATTAGCAATTTTGTTGTAGTGGAGATTGGTTTGTAGAGATTGAATGCGAAGTTGTATGTATTGATCAGTGTGTATTTTCCCCTGTTTGTAATGAGCTCAATCCATACAAGAACACTAAAAATAAACAATGCAATTCCAACAGGTGCATTATAATAAGCAAATAAACCAACTCACAATTACAAGACGGAAATAAGCTGCAAAGGAAATACACAGTAGAGAAATAGAAAGGGGATGAGAGCAGAATTGCAATTATACTTGAAATTGAATATGATTTACTGGAACCTTGTCATGGTCCACATTTGTAGGGCATGTTTTTGTTTTATGCTTCAAAAACAAAAATCTCTTATTGTAAAAAGTTCCGTCTAAAACAAAACGAAACCAATTCTCTCTCAAGAAACCTGGGAAACAAAAAAGCCAGCCCGGTACACAAAGCTTCCGGCATTCACGCAGGGTTCCAGAAACGATCGCACACCAAGGGGTGTGACATAGACAGCTTACCCTAATGCAAGCATTAGCGGCTGTTTCCATGGCTCAAACCCGATCCTGAGAAACCGTTACCTCAAAATAAAATTTGAACACTCACAAAACCAAAAAGAAAGTACATTAAAAACAAAATAAAACCATAATGCCTTAAAATCCATAATCCACGATGAAGAATCAGGATTTTCAGCTGCTGGTTTGCCTTCTTTTATTACAATATATCCTCAAAAATATGGCAAATATTAACAGTAGCAAAAGGCTGATTGGAATGGCCACAGATAAAGCAATCACTTTAGCAATTGACTGACTCCCTGAGCTTCCTGCAACATTAAATTACGGGCAAGTTACACTAGCCGATCAACCAAAAATAATTATATCCGCTAGCCAAATATACAAAAAAAATGGATAAAATTTATGTATTATATGTATATGATACATTTTGCGCCAACGTGTTGCTCTATAATTATAATTTCATCGTGGTGGTTTATTTCTAAAAATAGTGTTGCAATTTTACCATTATACTAAGTAAAATTAAGCGACAATAAGTAAAATTAAAAACACTATTTTGGTGCATGCATCCCCGTGCAAGTCTGCATATTACCAATCCAGAAACCCAACTTTTGCAAATAGAGGCCGACCCAGGATTTGTAGATGACTTGGGCACATGAGCGAACTGCTCAAATAGTGCCCCTGTCGGACTTTTGATCGTAAGGGTTCCAAGCAAAATATATGATCATTTTCAATATATATACACTTATATATTCAGAATTTTTCTCGAGGTGACCCCTCTTCTCCAAGCATAGATCCGCCTCCATTTGCAATCTCACCTAATTAGAGTCCAATTAATAGGAAAAATTGACCTAATTATCCAAATAAAGCAAAAGTTACGATCCAAATTCCCTGTTTTTTCGTGTGATAAAGCAGAACAAAATTGGTATATCACGATAACAAGATGAGCAGAACAAGAATGAAGAATCTTTACCTGTAAGACAATGAATTTCTTTGCTCATAGAGTTTTCAAATCCACAAAACTCGAATTTATCTTCACAAGCTGTACAATCAGGCACGCCCCAAGTCAAGCTTATAAAACCAAACCGATTAACATCTTCTTCTTCTAATAAATATGATGCCAAAGAAAAATTCCTAGCTATTACATTGCACTCAGACATTAATTCTTCATAATCCGAATCAAATATTCTAAATGCTAATAAATTTGTTGTTGAGTTGCTAATGCATTTAACGACGTGGGAATGGGATGTCACGTTTAATGGATAATCCGATGGACAACTAACGATAGTATAATTCACCATCTCGTCAGCTTTGAAAGGAGAAGAAGAAAGGTTCAAGTTCATTAGTCGACGCGCTAGGCAATTATCAGGATCATAGAGTTCAATTCCTGATTTGTAATAATGTATGCTTTGGACTAAAAAGTCTCCAGAAAAAGGAAGATTAAGAACTGCATATCCTTGGCTGTTGCATTTGATACTAAAGCCAGGATAGCCACAATTTTGTGAATATTGGTTTTCTAGGTAGAATGGAAACCTTATAGAGAAATTGAACATAGGACAATATGATACTGGGCAATAGTTTTTGGCATGGACAAATAGAAATGGCAAGAAAAGATGGATGAGAAGCACTTTCAGGATATCCATCACACGTCTACAACAAAGTCTGTTTAGAGAAATATTTAGTACTATAAATATTTAAAATAACAAGTATGTATTCCTTTTCTTGATAATTTGATCAAGTTTTATCCGCTGACATTTCTTCTTTAGATCGTGCAAGAGGATTTCCAAAGTCAAGAGTTTTAGAGGGTTTAAATGTTCATTATATAATGAAGATTGAAACATTCATATATAAACAATCTATATAATGTTATAACTCGAACAATTCCCTTCCGCTGATGTAATAATTTTTTAATTAAAAATCCAACAAACTTAGAAACTTGTGCTTTAAACTTTCAAGAAATCATAGATTGATTTTTTATGTAATGTGAACTAAAGTTTACAGACCCAAGGGAATTGATCCTTGAAAGGAATCATAGAGTGATTTTTTCCAAGAATAAGTGTGAAGCTTCCGTTAATTTGTCTTGACTTGTGGTCTTGATAGAGTTTTCCTCCGCTGAGCAGATTGTCCTTTTATTCGTGCAATCACAAATAGATCCATTGATTCCGTGAGTTAACCGTCTTCCTTTGATGAATGAATCTTCAGTGCAAATTTTTGGCAATCTTGACTTCCTCTAATTTAGGTCATTCCTTTAATATCTTCTGTCAATCTGTTGTCAAAACCTTGATTGATTTTCCCTTTGAATATTCGCTACTCCTTCCTTTCTCATCTCCTTGTCACGACCCGAAAACCACTAGTCGTGATGGCACCTAACTCAACCTGCTAGGTAAGCCAACTAACAGAAAATACCATCCAAATGTGATTTAAAGGAGAAATAGTGAAGAATTTTCTGAATATTAATTGACCCAAGAACTGGTAGTACGAATCATGAGCTACTAAGACTTTAAAATTTACAAAGCTGGTACAAATAATCACACGATCTGTTGAAATTTACATAACAGATTCGCAAAACCTAAGCTACCAAGGACAAGTGGCGGCTATATCCGGAATGCACGAACATCTTCAGAGTCAGCACCCGACGTCTCCAGCAATTCCGCTCTAAAAATCTGCACGCAATGTGCAGAAGTATAGTATCAGTACAACCGACCCCATATAGTGGTACGTATCTTGTCTAACCTCGTCGAAGTAGTGACGAGGATTTTTATTTTAAAGATTCTCACAGATAAAACATGCACTGTAAATCAGCAATAGAACTACAACACGATATAACAGAGAAGACTACATGAAACGGATACACAAACAATAACCGAATACTAGCAGTGATCACAATTTAGCATCCTACAATACCTCGACCAATCCTTTTCTTTGAATGAAACCGATAAACCACGACAGTCACGTCATAACTTTCATAGCATGAGGGATGTACTCAGATATCAAGTAAATTACACGGTAACACCCTTCGTGCTTTTATCTCATCCTCACCCAATATACGTATAACAGAACCAACCAGATGACAGAAATTACCGATAACAAGAATTACAAAGTAGGAAATATGCAAGTAGAAATAATGAACGAGGATATACATGTGGGCAACAGTAAAAGACTAGGCGGAAAGCATGTGAGTAATGACAGCAATTGGAAAACAAGGAATATCAACTTTAATTAACTAGCATGATGGAGACCTAAGTACATACATAACAAATAAGAAGGAAACACATGATCTTTACAAGTTAACAAGTAGAGGCATGAATGACTAACATAGAAAAAGGGCTTGTACTAAAATGCTACAGAATAGACATGACATGGAGGTAATTATAACAGTAGGAAATAGGCATGTGCTTGCAAATTAAACAAGAAGGAGATATGGACAACACAACAACGACTGAAATAGAGAGCAAGGACAGGACAATAACAACAAGTCACACGAGGTCTATAAATACGACAATAACCGCTCAAGATAAAGACGTGAACATATACACGGAAAACAGATATCACAACATAATGCATGTCCCTCATCCTCGCTTGCACGGAAACACCCATCGTGCCATGATCTCACGATAATATAAAAGTATAACAATATAAATAAAATGGCACGACATCACCCTTCGTGCTTTTACTCTCAAATGATGTGGCACGACATCACCCTTCGTGCTTTTACTCTCAATAATATGGCACGGCATCACCCTTCGTGCTTTTACTCTCAAATAATATGGCACGACATCACCCTTCGTTCTTTACACTCCCCCTCACATGATAATGTATAAAAAATAGCACGGCATCACCCTTCGTGCTTTACACTCTTCCTTACCAAACATGTGTATGTCAATGACAAACAAGGCAGGAAGCATAAATAACAGCAAGGAGAGTGTTTAAACGAATATTCCAAACAAATCCCAATCACAACTTTCTAGGCCAACGATGATCCAATGAACCCTCAAGAACTGTATTATTCAAGTACTTCCACAAATCTCCCAAATGATCACCAACACAAGTATAGAATCTAGTATCTCAAGAGATCGGTTGTAGCAATGTATTAATGACTACGCATAGTGATAACTGAATTAGACACATCAATGTATTCTCAGAATTTCATCAATTTGATCAATTTATAATAAGATAAGTCTTGATTTCTAACGTTTAATATTATGTTCTTAGTATCTAAGAGTCAAGTAAGGCATGAAGCAAGAAAGTCACGAAATTCTACAAACACAATATAACATAATCTACCCCCCCTCCCCCGAGCATGATTAACCCTGACACATACATATACGCTCGTCACCTCATATATGTATCACCCCCATATGTAGCAAACATTATCAAATAGGAGGAAAACTCCCTCAACAAAGTTAGGCAACGACGACTCGAATACATCACACAATGCAAGAGAAAATAATTTAAATTAATAAAGCTGTGATTTTTATTAAATTTCTAAAAAGTCAACAAAAGTCAAACCCCAGGCCCGCCCTGTTAAAACCTGGGTCCAAGGATAGGTCTTTTCTACCCATAGCCTCACGAGTCCAAATATATGTTTGTTTTCAAATCCGAGTCCTATTCGATTCTCAAATCCCAAATTTTTATTTTCCAAAACTTTGACAAAATCCCCAAACTTTTCCCTAGCTTTCTCATGAATTTGATGTTAAATCTTATATAAAATCATGAAATTCACTGCTGCCTTCGCAAATGCGACCAAAAAGGTCGAAAATGCGAACACTGGACCTTCGCAAAAGCGACCAGCTGGTCGCAATTGCGAACAAACTCATCTCAGGTCTTTATTGCAAATGTGATACTGAGTCCGCAAATGCAAACTCAACAGGCCTCACAAAAGCGGCAAATTACTTGCAAATGCGAGTCCTTTCCCCATCAGCCTAGCTTCGCAAATGTGAGGCTGCTTCGCAACTGCAATAGTCGCATTTGCGATGAAAACATCGCAAATGTGATGATACCAGTACCAGCAATCAAAGTTTATGAAAAATCCTTCCAAACCCAATCCGAAACTCACCCGAGCCCTCGGGGCTCCAAACCAACCATGCACCCAGGTCCAGAAACATAACACGAACTCGCTCGCATGATCAAATCATCAAAATAACCTCTAAAACCACGAATCGGACGCCAAAACGCATGAAGATCAAACTAAACTTCAAGAACTTCTAGAATCGCAACCAAACGTCCGAACCATATCAAATCAACTCCAAATGGCGCCAAATTTTGCAGACAATTTCTACATGACAAAACGAACCTACTCGAAGCTTCACTTCATGCATAACAACCTCGAAACGACGAATTGAACCTCAAGTCAACATCAATGAACTTTGAAACTTCAACTTCTACAACCGATGTCGAAACATATTAAATCACGTCCAATCGACCTCAAATGTTGCACACAAGTCACATTTGACATTACGGACCTACTCCAACTTCCGAAATCGGAATCTAACCCCGATATCAAAAAGTCCACTCCCGGTCAAACTTCCCAAAAATCCAACTTTCGCCATTTCAAGACTAATTCGGCTACGGACCTCCAAATTACAATCTGGATGCGATCCTAAGTCCAAAATCACCCAATGGAGCTAATGGAATTGACGGAACTCCGTTCCGTGGTCAAATGCTAAAAAGTCAAACTTGGTCAACTTTCCCAACTTAGAGCTTAAATCTTGAAGTTCATTCTTCCAAAACGATTTCAGATAACTTGAAAACCAACACCGAAGAATTACGCAAGTCATAATACGTCATGCGGAGATACTCGAGCCCTCAAAACACCAAACAAAGTGAAGATACTCAAAACAACCAGTCGGGTCGTTACACTCCTATAGCTAGTTTTTGATAGTCTTCCTTTTTTATTAATCCTTGAGTGTTTTTGCACATAAAAGATGTGTTATTTTGCATCATTAAAATAAACATAGATCTAACAATCTCTCCCTTTTTGATGATGATAAAGTAACAGTGTAATAACACCAGTTTACTTCCTTGTATGTTAGCTGACTCTTCATTTGTTATAGTTGACCCCGCATCAGTTGAGTACTAGTGTAGCTTAGTACACTAGTCGACACTCATGTGATTTGTTATAGTCGACTTCCCCTCAGTTTGGCATCCTGTATGTTTGTTGTAGTCGACTCCCCCTCCATTTAGCATCCTGTTATTTACCTGCAAGATCCTGGAAACAAACAAGACAAACAACTACAAGAAAAACCAAGCTACATTTCTCCCCCTTCGGCATAAAAAAAAAGTCATTATAAAACGAAATGGTTTAGCAGCCTATACCTAGCTAAGTAAGCATGCAGGAGAAAACGTAATTAATTGTCTTAACAGTACAACCCATGACTGAATCATCAGTCCCAAAAGAAGCAAAAGAAAAATAGTCTTAAACAACCATGCATCAACGGGGCAGAAAGTAGGTAAGAGTATTGCAGATAGCCTCGTTAAGGTGTTAAACATTTGCATTGACTATGACTGATATCCCATCGATCATGTCGTGCTCCTCCTTAAAAGCTTTTATTGCATTTTTGATTGTCTTGAGAATCTGCACTCTTATCTTGGATACATCAGAGCCTGTCTCCTTTGACACTTCATAGATCTTCAATTGTGCTTTGCATCGAGATTAGTGAGTCCTTGATGA